GCAGATTTGGCGCCTGCGGGGCGAATCGCTGTTGCCTCCTGCCTATAAATCGGTGTTTGATCTGTACTCGTCTCCCAGAGCGCTGGTGTGAAATGAATCCTTCCAAAAGCCTGCAGCTGTGCCTTACTTCCCCAGTAAGTCCAGGCTATGCAGAGCCCGGGAGGGAGGCAGGGACCAAAATGGAGAGGAAGCACCGTGCCGAGAAAGATGCTGAAAATGTTTTCTTCTGGTGGAAGGCGTTTTTCTCCCCGGGGAGGGAGGCCTTGTGCGAGCAGTTCCCATATAAGGGCAATTTTACCTTTTAACTTTCTCCTTCCCTCTCCATTTGTCTCCCTCTTCCCCCAAAGGGATGGGAACCCCCTTTGGCTCCCCTTCCGTAGCCGCGGGACGGAGCCAACACCGACACGAGGACTGCGTGCTGTCTCCTTGTTTGAGCGAGGAGCGGCGTTGCCAGCCGTGGGAGCTTAGAAATTCCTAAGGCAGGATTATCCCGTGTCGTCAGATTGTCCTGCTGCTGACAAGTGTGAGGGCTTTTCAGGGGCTTTCTGGTCTCCCAGATTTTCGGATTTGTTTTTCAGACTTGATGTGGGTAAGCAAGAGGATAGTTTTTCACGTTAAAGGGGAGACCAGTCGAGCACATATACGCTGTCCTGGGAGTCACACACTCACCCCCTGAGGCTTTCCTGCTCCGACCAGATTCCCTTCACCGTGGGTGACTCCAGTGAGCCGGCGGGTCCCCCTTCCAACTCCTTTCACACACACGTTCTCACCCTGCGTGCTTCTCCCTTCCTCAGGCTCACCCCTGGGTTTCCTGTAGCTGAGTCCCAGATATCGAATCTTACATAAAAAAATAATTTACTCAGATCGTACAGCAGAAACAAAAAATCTCTCGAGCTGGGTGCCTCTGGAGAGGGACCCCAAACAAAGGAATTCCTGGGCAATTATACCCTCGTAACAATCTGTGTGCCCGCCCCTCACACGCTCTTCACGTGCCTTTCTGGGCCAATGGCGATTTCTGGTCTGGGGTCTTCTAACACCTCACTGGACTCTTTCTCTGTCTCCAGGCAGGCCATTAACTGTCCTTATCCTGTGGGATTGCAGCTTCTGCTGATGGTTGTAGCCTCCTCACCTTCTGGTTTGTGCTGCTTGCGCACCCGCTCCCACTGGGATCGGCACTACTTGGCAACAACTAAAACATCAGCGTGTCACCAACGTTATTCTCACACGAAATCCAAAACACAGCACTGTACCAGCTGCTGGGAAGAAAATCAGCTCTGTCCCAGCTGCAAACATAGCTCAGCTC